TAGGGAATGAGGCTGTGCTAGTGGATAAATGAGCCAGGTTGAAGTTGGAAATGGTTTTAGTTTAACAGCGCAGAGCTACGGCTCAGGCCCGGACCGCGTGTTTTTTTGCACAAGGTCAGTTTTTCGTAGCTCTCACGCGCATCTGGGGATCGGGCCTCGCACGTACTCTTCTCGCCTGGGCAAAGTTTAGACGGCCCAGGGTAGAAATGGCAAGTAATTAAAATGAAAACACAATCTATGGGGTCTCCGGAATCCTTCAGAAAACCCTCCCCCACCCCCTCCGACTTTTCAGCAGTCCCTTCCAAGTCCCTGCCGCCGCAGCGCTGCTCTCTGGCTCCCTGGGACTACCTCCTTCCAGGCCCGCTGCTTGTCCAGCCGAGTGGGCAGTGAGGCGTCCTTTTTATAGCTGTCGGGTGCAAAGAGGAAGGGGGATAAAAAGGAAATCGAGAATGAAAGGGAAAAAGGAGGGAAAAAAAAAACGCGGATTAGGTGGCTGGGCCTGGCTGAGATGTGTAATGTGAAACATCATCGGTGTCAGCTCGGAAATCTCGGGTCAGGCCTCGCTCCAATACACAATAGCCGCCGTCTGGGGCTACGGGCGGGCCCGATGTGGATTGAGAATGGGGTTGCGTCTGGGCCACCGGACACGGGTGGGGGCTGGCGGGGCTGGGCGGCCGCCCGCAAAGCCCAGCGACTAGGCCGGCCCCCGGCCGGAGCAGCGCCGGGCGCGCGGGTCTGGCCTGGGGTGGGCGGAGAGTATGAAGGAGAGGAGCGAAGGGAGGGGAAGGCTGCAAAGCGACTCTTCCCGGGTTCCCGGAGATTTACACGCCAGGCTCGCGGAGTTTAATTAGCTGTCGGGGAGGTGGTCTTTTACTTTTTATTTGGTTATTTTGCTAGGCGAGGAAGGGGGTCGTGGCCTGGCGCCTGTTGAGGGCGCACGTTCCGTGGAGTAGGGGGCGGCGGTGGAGATTCGAGAGGGGAGGAGGCGTTGTGGGAGAGAGAGCGGGCCTCCCAGCCCCTTGCCCTCATCACTGTGGCTTTGGAATGCAAGCGAGTTTGCAAGGTGGCCGGGGAAGGGTTGGGCGGAAAGCCCGCTGCTCTGAGTTTATTTTGCAGTAAGTGTTTTTGGACCCTGAGGAGGACGTGGGCTAGTGAATAAGCCACTCGCAGGCTGCCAGGCAGTGTGCTGGGGTTTGTGGTGCAACTTAGAGCCCGGGCTCGAAGGCCTGAACCGGCCTGGCCCCCTGCGTTGTGACGGGGCTCTGGCAGCTTGGGGCACGGGCCAGTGGGGTGGGGTGGGGGGGAACTCTGGCGGGGAGGGTGTGCGGGTGTGTGTTGGAGCGGGGATGGTTGCTGGTGCTTTCCCGGATCTAGGTTTTACTAATCCGATCTGTGGCATCTGTTTGCTCCCTTGCCCTCCACCCCCAGGTTTGGTTCAAAAATCGCCGGGCCAAATGGAGAAAGCGGGAACGCAACCAGCAGGCCGAGCTGTGCAAGAATGGCTTTGGGCCGCAGTTCAACGGGCTTATGCAGCCCTACGACGACATGTACCCGGGCTATTCGTACAACAACTGGGCCGCCAAGGGCCTCACGTCGGCCTCCCTGTCCACCAAGAGCTTCCCTTTCTTCAACTCTATGAACGTCAACCCCCTGTCATCCCAGAGCATGTTCTCCCCACCCAACTCCATCTCGTCCATGAGCATGTCGTCCAGCATGGTACCCTCAGCGGTGACCGGCGTCCCGGGCTCCAGCCTCAACAGCCTGAATAACTTGAACAACCTGAGCAGCCCGTCGCTGAATTCCGCGGTGCCCACGCCAGCCTGTCCTTACGCGCCGCCGACTCCTCCGTACGTTTATAGGGACACGTGTAACTCGAGCCTGGCCAGCCTGAGACTGAAAGCAAAGCAGCACTCCAGCTTCGGCTATGCCAGCGTGCAGAACCCGGCGTCCAACCTGAGTGCTTGCCAGTACGCCGTGGACCGGCCCGTGTGAGCCGCGCACTGCGCTGGGATTCTAGGACCGTGCCGGATGGGGCAGCTTTGCCCTTGTTGAAAGACTGGGAATTACGCTAGAAGGTCGTGGGCACTAAAGAAAGGGAGAGAGAGAGAGAAGATATAGAGAAAAAGGGAAACCACTGAATTAAAGAGAGCTCCTTTGATTTCAAAGGAATTTCCTCAATGTCTGACATCTTTCACTAAAAAGTATTTCCAACAGTTGCAAGGACACACACAAATGTTTGACTGGATATGACATTTTAACATTACTATAAGCTTGTTATTTTTTAAGTGTAGCGTTGTTAACATTAAAATGACTGAAAGGATGTATATATATCGAAATGTCAGATTAATTTTATAAAAAGCAGTTGTTAGTAATATCACAACAGTGTTTTTAAAGGTTAGGCTTTAAAATAAAGCATGTTATACAGAAGCGATTAGGATTTTTTGCTTGCGAGCAAAGGAATGTATATACTAAATGCCACACTGTATGTTTCTAACATATTATTATTATAAAAAATGTGTGAATATCAGTTTTAGAATAGTCTCTCTGGTGGATGCAATGATGTTCCTGAAACTGCTATGTACAACCTACCCTGTGTATAACATTTCGTACAATATTATTGTTTTACTTTTCAGCAAATATGAAAAAAATGTGTTTTATTTCATGGGAGTAAAATATACTGCATACAAATTGGTCTGGATTCTTTCTGCCCTCCTCTGTCGCCTGGCCACGGTTTCTCAGTCACTGCTTCCTAAACAAACCAGTTCCCTCTGCCTGCCTAGTTAAATACACAAGGCAGCAGTACTTATTTAAATTTGGTAGAAATAAATTATAGTCATTCATCAGAAACTAAAAAGAAAAAAGAGATACTCTCAGAAAAAAAAACGGGGGGTGGCTGCGAAGTCTGGTCTTGTTTCCCAGATTTTTCTTTGGCTTACACCCAGAGGATTCCATTATTGCTAGCAAATAATATAAGAGGGAAAGAAGAAAGGAGAAAGAAATTTAGAAGCTTGGAATGACTCTCAAGTTTACTCCTTTGGGGAGGAGGGAACCTGCACATCCAGTAAATTGTTCTGGAAAAGTATGTGTGTATATATACATCTACAATTTATATACATTTCTCTCAAGAGGAATACGTCTATAAGTTTACAAGGAAACACCTTCAAAATATTTAGGCCTCCACGTTTACCTCTCAGGCTTAAGTAGAGAGATTCTTCATGTTATATTACATTACTATTTCCAAATCCTTTCGCGACATTAAAAGAAACAAAGACCATTTCTAATAACCACAGCCCTTTAGTTTCTCAAAGAGCCCAGGGGTTGAGAGGTTAGAGCGCAGTTTCCTGAGTCTTGTCGAGCAATATGTAGTTGAGGCAAAGGTCATGCTCCCCGTGTTTTGTTTTAAATAATATTGACCCATTAATTCTAAAGCTGCTTGTTCCTGAAATTATGCAGGATTATAGTTTGCAAACTGCCGGAGAATGAAGCAAATCAAGATGAATTACAGCCTTGGCCCTCCCTCCCATCCTCTGACATCTAAACGGGGAATGAGTTTGGTGTGAGGGTTTAAAAGAACGTTAAGCACCCACTCTTCCTTTGTTGGTGGTTTTCAGCTTTTTTTTTTTTTTTAATGTGAAATTACTTTTGTAACAAATAGTAGCAAATACGACTTAGTCCTAAAGAAGTCATCACCGTGGCGCAAGGGAGGTCGGTGTGTTGGGCGTGAGCGTGAGGGGTAGTTCTGAGGTCTTTTGCTCTTCGGGTCACCCCCCCACCCCCCGCGGTGGGCAAGTTGCTGGTGCTTTCCCGGATCTAGGTTTTACTAATCCGATCTGTGGCATCTGTTTGCTCCCTTGCCCTCCACCCCCAGGTTTGGTTCAAAAATCGCCGGGCCAAATGGAGAAAGCGGGAACGCAACCAGCAGGCCGAGCTGTGCAAGAATGGCTTTGGGCCGCAGTTCAACGGGCTTATGCAGCCCTACGACGACATGTACCCGGGCTATTCGTACAACAACTGGGCCGCCAAGGGCCTCACGTCGGCCTCCCTGTCCACCAAGAGCTTCCCTTTCTTCAACTCTATGAACGTCAACCCCCTGTCATCCCAGAGCATGTTCTCCCCACCCAACTCCATCTCGTCCATGAGCATGTCGTCCAGCATGGTACCCTCAGCGGTGACCGGCGTCCCGGGCTCCAGCCTCAACAGCCTGAATAACTTGAACAACCTGAGCAGCCCGTCGCTGAATTCCGCGGTGCCCACGCCAGCCTGTCCTTACGCGCCGCCGACTCCTCCGTACGTTTATAGGGACACGTGTAACTCGAGCCTGGCCAGCCTGAGACTGAAAGCAAAGCAGCACTCCAGCTTCGGCTATGCCAGCGTGCAGAACCCGGCGTCCAACCTGAGTGCTTGCCAGTACGCCGTGGACCGGCCCGTGTGAGCCGCGCACTGCGCTGGGATTCTAGGACCGTGCCGGATGGGGCAGCTTTGCCCTTGTTGAAAGACTGGGAATTACGCTAGAAGGTCGTGGGCACTAAAGAAAGGGAGAGAGAGAGAGAAGATATAGAGAAAAAGGGAAACCACTGAATTAAAGAGAGCTCCTTTGATTTCAAAGGAATTTCCTCAATGTCTGACATCTTTCACTAAAAAGTATTTCCAACAGTTGCAAGGACACACACAAATGTTTGACTGGATATGACATTTTAACATTACTATAAGCTTGTTATTTTTTAAGTGTAGCGTTGTTAACATTAAAATGACTGAAAGGATGTATATATATCGAAATGTCAGATTAATTTTATAAAAAGCAGTTGTTAGTAATATCACAACAGTGTTTTTAAAGGTTAGGCTTTAAAATAAAGCATGTTATACAGAAGCGATTAGGATTTTTTGCTTGCGAGCAAAGGAATGTATATACTAAATGCCACACTGTATGTTTCTAACATATTATTATTATAAAAAATGTGTGAATATCAGTTTTAGAATAGTCTCTCTGGTGGATGCAATGATGTTCCTGAAACTGCTATGTACAACCTACCCTGTGTATAACATTTCGTACAATATTATTGTTTTACTTTTCAGCAAATATGAAAAAAATGTGTTTTATTTCATGGGAGTAAAATATACTGCATACAAATTGGTCTGGATTCTTTCTGCCCTCCTCTGTCGCCTGGCCACGGTTTCTCAGTCACTGCTTCCTAAACAAACCAGTTCCCTCTGCCTGCCTAGTTAAATACACAAGGCAGCAGTACTTATTTAAATTTGGTAGAAATAAATTATAGTCATTCATCAGAAACTAAAAAGAAAAAAGAGATACTCTCAGAAAAAAAAACGGGGGGTGGCTGCGAAGTCTGGTCTTGTTTCCCAGATTTTTCTTTGGCTTACACCCAGAGGATTCCATTATTGCTAGCAAATAATATAAGAGGGAAAGAAGAAAGGAGAAAGAAATTTAGAAGCTTGGAATGACTCTCAAGTTTACTCCTTTGGGGAGGAGGGAACCTGCACATCCAGTAAATTGTTCTGGAAAAGTATGTGTGTATATATACATCTACAATTTATATACATTTCTCTCAAGAGGAATACGTCTATAAGTTTACAAGGAAACACCTTCAAAATATTTAGGCCTCCACGTTTACCTCTCAGGCTTAAGTAGAGAGATTCTTCATGTTATATTACATTACTATTTCCAAATCCTTTCGCGACATTAAAAGAAACAAAGACCATTTCTAATAACCACAGCCCTTTAGTTTCTCAAAGAGCCCAGGGGTTGAGAGGTTAGAGCGCAGTTTCCTGAGTCTTGTCGAGCAATATGTAGTTGAGGCAAAGGTCATGCTCCCCGTGTTTTGTTTTAAATAATATTGACCCATTAATTCTAAAGCTGCTTGTTCCTGAAATTATGCAGGATTATAGTTTGCAAACTGCCGGAGAATGAAGCAAATCAAGATGAATTACAGCCTTGGCCCTCCCTCCCATCCTCTGACATCTAAACGGGGAATGAGTTTGGTGTGAGGGTTTAAAAGAACGTTAAGCACCCACTCTTCCTTTGTTGGTGGTTTTCAGCTTTTTTTTTTTTTTTAATGTGAAATTACTTTTGTAACAAATAGTAGCAAATACGACTTAGTCCTAAAGAAGTCATCACCGTGGCGCAAGGGAGGTCGGTGTGTTGGGCGTGAGCGTGAGGGGTAGTTCTGAGGTCTTTTGCTCTTCGGGTCACCCCCCCACCCCCCGCGGTGGGCAAAGACAAACATCACCCTGGCTGGGGAATCGGGAGCAAAAAGTAACCGCCAGTTTTCTGGGGCCGAGAAAACCTGTGTTTTTGCGCTTAAGTTGCTTTTATCGGACTGAAACTTTACCTATAAGCTTTTGGAGCTCAGACACTGAGTCTTTGTTCTGCATGGGAGTGCTGCTGCCACTTAAAGAGATCGCAGATAATGTCCCCTATTTAAGATCAGTGCTTAATGCACATTAACTTTCTTTCTTTCCTTTTTAAGCTCTGCCTCGGACCTGCGGTGGGATCACGCGGCTGTGGAGGGCAGATAAAAGCCCTTTGGACGAGGGTCACCTCCGTCCTTGTTGTTCACTTGAGAGCAGTGGAGAGGAAAACGGTCCCCACGGGCGGACTTTGGCTTCTGGAGCCGCGGGGCTCGTCAGTCCGGGCCTCCCAGAGCCTCCGCCGGGCTTGGGGGGAGGGGCGGCGAGGGAGGGGAATGGGAGAGGAGATTTGGGGATGGGGGCCTGGAAGCGCTAACGAGACCTGCTGGGAGGATTTGCGTCTGCAGGCCCCAGAACGACTTGGGAGCGCTGGGTGCAGGACGTGGATCTCGGCCTAGTTTGCTTGCTGAAACAGAACTCAATTTCAAGGAAATCAATCAATCTGCAGGAAACAAAAATGGAAGTCGAGGTTTGGGAAGAGTTGTCACTTCCCCGACTGGAGTGGTGCGGGCTGTGGGCGGAGACTCGGGGCTGATGAGAGGCCCTTTCTCCCACCTCAGCTCTTTCCCAGGACTTCCAGAAGGGAGAATTACCCTCCTCACCTCCCTTTCCCACACCCATCCTCGCTGGCCCTTCGGCCCCTTTCCGCACCTCCTTTTCCCTTCAAGTGAGAAAAGCCTAGTTCCCTCGCGCCTCCCGCTCCCACGCTGGTCCCCCTACAGCCATCGCTACTGCCACCACCTCGGTTCCACTCAATCGATTTTTGCTGCATGTCAACACTTATTACCGGTGAGTGTGAGGTATTTTTTTCTCCTTCTCTAGGTCTCTTAATGATTTCTGAGCTAGTTGTGTATTAAAGTGCTTAAAGGAACCTTTAAGGCAATCTATAGCATGAACACCAACCTTCTCCGCTTGGGATCAAAGATGGCGAGCGGGAGGTCGGGCCCCCGGGAGCCCAGGCATCCCAGGCCTTGAGCCCTCGCCGCCCACCTCTGTGCCCCAGAGACT